TCACTTCAGTAATGTGAGACAGAGGTTGGTATGAGATTTGGGGGTAGGAAATTTGAGGGGAAAGAGATTGCTTCTGACTGCATGTTCTATAACTGCTGCATATTGAAGAAAGTCAGCTCTAGTCAACTGACAGATGGTGTAATGAAATTAAGACACACACTCAGTGGAAACATTGAGAAAATGTTAAGCGTTTATATACACTTTATTGACTCATGATTCCCCTTTTGCTCATTATATCCATGTAGTTTCAAGATTTCAAACTGGTTCTTCTATTGTTGAAATAGTGTCCTGGGGTTAAAACACACTTCCAGGATTTGGGATCTTCCTTGGCACTGAAAGGAAAGATTTTGTGGCAACTTGAAGTAAATTCTGTCTGCAGTGGAAGGGAAGGCTGTATCTGACCCATATCATTGCATATAATTTCCTCTGGAATCTCTCTCATGAGCAACTCAAGATACTTACTAATCTTTCACCTCCTTGCTTATACTAAACCGATGAATAATTGAAAAAAAAATATAATATGTATGTACATCAGAAACTGAAACAATTAATGTAGCTATGCTGATTTATTACTTGCTATTTTTAGCTTAATGAAACACGTAATCTCATTCTTCAATTTACATGCTTACTTTCTTCTTCTGTATGTGGTTTTAATTTTAAGTAGAACAAAGTATTTTTGAGAAAGCAAAATATAAAAATTGTAATTAGAACATAGTTATGGATAACTTAGAAAGAACTGAGAATACACTCCTAATAACATATTCCAAAATGGAAGTGGTCTGAACTTTAGCAGCTTATGGACCTAATTTGATTAAATCTTTCTGAAATGTGAAAGAAACGGCACATACAGACATACATAAAAAAATAATGACACCTAGAAGATGATCACAGTTCTTCTTAACCTTGCTGAGGGTCAAGTATCAGTCGACTGGTTGTCAACATCTTCTCAGTTCATTATTTCTGCAGGATTTTCAGCGTAATTTGGTCAAGTTGACCTTTTTGCTCAGATAAGTCTGTGCCAGCTTCTTCAAAAAATGTCTGCTCCTTTTCTGTTTTCAAGGAAGCAGTGGGCACACTAGCATCTGACAGTCCCCAAAGTTCTCACTTGCCAAATATTCTTAGACTCCTGATACTATACTTCAAAACTAATTAAACCTACACGTGTCCTACTCAAAACTGATTAGATATGAACAGTTTGAAGGCAGCTCACAAATGAGCCATCTGATGGTCCAGGGAGGCAGCAAGGGTGGGCAAGTCACAAGAAATGAGAACAGAGCACGCTCAGAAAGCCACAGGAGTGTAAATGACAGCCCTATATGATAGTAACCTGTCTCACTCTCCAGCTAAAGGAAGTACTGGTAGTGTGTAAGAGCCACTCCTTTGCAGTATTAATTTGGTTTTACACATAAAATTATGTAGTATACATATTTTCTTTTGTCCTGGCAGTATGCATGGCATTGCACACTTTGTAGCTTCCACCCCTGAATCTTGCTTTGATAGTGAAATATGACTCATATCTACTACCCTAGCCCAACTGAATTGCTCTGATGGTTAAAACCAGCTGGTATAAACATAATCATCGCAGTTGCCTTATGTAGGGCTGGACATGTGGCAGCTGAGAAGATGGGTGGAGTTATTTAGTTAGGTATCTGGAGGTTATCCAGCTGCCTGCATCAACAAAAGCTTGCTGTTGGTCACCCCATTGTGGCTGCTCTTCTGTCTCAGGCAACCCCTACTAGTGATCACCAAAAAATAATTTAAAAGTATGTACAAGTCTAATCCCTCACCATTATAAAGGCACACAAATTTAGCCTGCTATTGAAATCAACAGGAGGTTAAAAAATGTTTTCGAGCAAGGACTGAATTACCAATATCTCTCATGAGCATCCACTAAAAAAGTAAAAATGCAATTTCTTTGAAGACTTTGATCTTGGTAGCAATAAAAATATTTTCTTCACATTTCACAGGATATTTCATATTTGATGGCTGGCTTGGGGGAAAAAAAACAACAAAACAACACAAAATAAACCAATTTTCTACTTTTGAGCCCTTTACAGAGACCACTAACAGAAAGCATTGGACAGCAGCACGTAACACCACACTGAGACTTGAACTGTGACGAGAAGCACCTGGAAGCTCCCAGAATCACAGCTCTGACTCCTGTAATTTGCTGTAGCTATAGGAAGCAAAACTTTCCTTGTACTGTAAGTCAGTAAATCTAAGACGAGAGGAAATCTTTCAGTGCTCCACCAACTCCAGTCACAGTAGCAGCTCTTTTGCCATATAAGTACAACCAGTAGAAAGAAGATAATAATCTAGAGCTCTTCTGGCATCAATCAGAGCATTAATCTTCATAGAGAAAAATGTGACATTGCTTACAGCAAAGAGTCAGTCAAGCTAGGAAAAATCACTGCTAGGGATCCCACTGTCTTTATAAATAAAATAATAGAGAAGGTGTAATCTGCAAGTAACTTAATGGCAATATAACTGTATTAAGAATAGAATACTACAGAAATGAGCAGACCTTAGTAACAGTGAAAATGAGATTACCTGAATATATATTTGACATTAAAAATTAAAAAAATAATCTGCAGAAATACCCCAAAGTGTTTCTGAAGGAAGTGTAAAAAAATGATGGGTAACATTAATTACAAGAGGAAGAAAAAAGGTGAAGAGAGTTTTTCTAATCTTGATACAGGTATACTCTGGGGCAAAGAAGTTATTAAGAGTAGTACAATAGCAACAAGGAAAGCATTCTTTTTTAACCAAAACATGGCTAATTTAATCACAATCCATCTATTTGTGTCAAGCAAATGAATGACTAATGGCTTAAAGATTTTACCAGCATTGCTGGAATCTACCATTTGCTACTGGGACAAATGCAAAACACCTGCTAGCTTTATGTGGGAGAAAATTGAGGAAAGGTATTGGCGTTGGTTAGAATAGCTGGTGCTTACCTGAAAAAAACCCCACAAACAACAAAACAAATGCAAACCAAAAGAACAACCCCCAAACTCCCAGCAGAAGCCAAGTTCAATGAGATTATTTCATTTAATGTTTAGAGAGAGCTGTTTGGAAGGACCCAGAGGAGGCTGTTTGTTGCTGCTGAGTGGAGGAGTGTGCTCAATTATTGCCTCTAAAACAGTGAGAGGCCTGTAGGAAGTGGATGAGAGGTTAACTGTACAATATCAGAAAACATGTACTTCTACTGGGTGATTTTTTTATAACCAGTGCTTCCTTATTCTTTTTTTTTTTTCCTTTTCCCTGGGCCTCTGGTATCTTTGTTTTGGTGTGGGAGGGTTTTTTGTGGGCTGGAAGGACAGGTTGGTAGGTGTTTAATAGACTCAGCAAACAGAAAGAAGCAAAAAGATGGAAAGAGAAACTAAAATGGCATTGCTGTGGTTTTTGTGTGACACTACCAATAGAGTAAGAGGGTCTGATGTGTTTAATTTGCTCCGAAGTTTTTATGCTGAATCCTAAGGAAACTGTGACTCTGACATGATCTTAATGTTTCAAAAGGAGATCATCATACTGTATAAGGAACTGTGTTTGCTGGGCTACTTTGTTTGCTGACAGGAAATGCAACCCCAGCTTTAGCAGTATCTGCTGGGGAAATAAGAGAGTAAATTAAATTATATTTATTTACACTACTGTAAAAACTACATAGATGAGGCTAGCTCTTCTTTGCTGAAGAAACAAGAAATACATAATCTTCCAAGGATCAGGAAAGGATCAATGGCTACATACCACGGATTATGGTCTCTGCCATGAGCTGTGAGAATTTGTCAAGTTTGAAACCGGCTTGCCACACCACATCCGAGCTGTAATGAATAAAATCAAGCAGGCAGGAGTAGCTGTTAGAAAAGAGAAAATGGAGTAGCTACAAAGCTTTGACTTCTCAGAGACAACAACAGCATGCTGTTAACAAGGTACCACTTGGCATATTTTTCTTCTCCCATCACAAAAGCAGCGTTTAATCCAAGTTCAGCACACCAAGTTCAACGTGCATAGACGTTAGCATATACTGATCGGTGACGACTGTTAATAAAATGACAACATATAAAAAAATCGACGGGTGGGGTGGGAGGGAGGTGATCGGTGGCCTCGAGCCTCGCACTTCCAGCTGCAGCAGGAGGAGTTTGGAGCGCTGCACAAGACGCGTGGCCCGGGAAGGGCGGGAAAGCCTCACCTCGCCGCGGTTACC